GAAATCCAGCACCTTCCCCCACCAAATACCTCTGGGGAGGTGGGGGGACGCCTCAGAGATGGGATCCCGGGGAGTCTCAGAGGCAGCATATCATCTCTAGCTCCAATACCTTGCTTCCTCTGAAGTGTGTAAATCTCATTGGCCCTCTGGCTTCTCTCCGCCCTTTGCTGACACAAACATGATGCAGTCTGTTTTCCTTTGATTCTCTAAGCACAAACACAAGGATATGGCAGAGTGTGACGGAAGGCTAGGGGATTACAGAAGAGGGCTACTTTATCATGCAATTACCGTGCAACACATCAAATGGCAAATGACTTACGTGGAATATGAGACATCCTTGTTCTTCAAAGCCCCGCGGCATTCCCATCCCAAGGAACGCCTCGCTGGCTGCGCCTTCTCCTTAGGGCCCTGGCTTCTATATCACCTCTCCCTGGAGCCCTTCTGTGATGGGCGTTGCTCTTGTGATATGTGTGTGTGTGTTGGGCATCTGCAACAATGTAGGTCTTGGTGGGGGTCAAGATCTTGTCTCATATTATAGAAGCCTCAAAGACCATATTATAGCCAAGGTGTGGGCATAGTGATCCAAATGGGTCCAATCCGCTGCTTGGGCCAGCACTGTGTCTTTGGAGAAAGTGCTACAAAAAAGCAGGAGATGTTTACAGAAGGGATATCCATGTCTAGGCAGCAGGACATACAACGTCCATCCCTCACCAGGTTGTTCCTTGATAGGACTTTGGCTGGTGTGCTGGCTGTCCTGCTCATTTTCAAATCTAGCTTACCAACTTACCTATGACAGTTTTAATTCTAAAATACTTCCACAAATTCTTTGATACTCCTCTGTTCAAGAGCTGGAGCTTGATTTCCCTCCCTCTGAGCATAGACTAGACTTAGTGATTGGCTTCTAATAGATACAATAGGGCGGAAGTGATTGTGGGTGACTTGCAAGATTAGGTCATAAAAGGCACTGCAGCTTCCTCCTTACTCTCCTGGATTCCTCACTCTGGCGGAAGCCAGCTGCCATGTCATAGGACACCCAGGCAGCCCTGTGGAGAGACCGTTTGTGAGGAAATAAAGCCTCCTAACAATAGCCAATGAAGTACTGAGGTTTCCTGCCAACATCCAAGTGAGTGAATCATCTTGGAAGCAGACTCTCCAGGCCCAGTCAAACCTTAGCTGACTGAAGCCACGGCCAACATCTTGGCTACAACTCGTGAGACTCCGAACCAGAACCACCCAAGCAAGCTGCTTCCAAATTCCTGACCTACAGAAATGATGAGACAATGGATGTTTGCTGTTTCTGGCCTCTAAATTTTAAGATAATTTGTTACTCAGCACAAATAGCTAATACACTTCCCCTGGATTCTGTAAGCCACCAAAAAGTTTTCCAGCAAATTCTTTTCCTGCTTAAGTTAGTTAGGGTCAGTTTCTGTTGTTTACAATCAAGAGCCCTGACTAGTATCATTTTTTCACATCTTTTCTTTCTACTCATCATCCTCAGGCTGCCCCCAACCTCTACTTTTAATCCACAGCCCCAGCCTCCAACCCCTGCCCATTTATCAGGCTTCTCAAGATTTCACTGTCATATCCAGGTTGTGTCCTGGGGGCTTCACCTTTATCACTCATGCAGGTTGTCCAGACAGTTTCCTCATCGTAAATGCATCCTCACCACTTCCTGAGAAGGCAAAAGTAGCTGCAGACTACGGCAGCGTTAAATTACTTGCAGCCCTCTCTCCCCAAGGCCTTGCCATCTGTCTTCTGCCCGCATCATTGACTCACTGCTCCTTGGAGGTTTCCCATGATCTCTTCCTCAGCGAGTTGAATTGTCTTTCCTCAAGTCCCTTGAGAACTGTCCTTTCTTGGCCTGTCTGCAGTTCTGAACACTGTCCACCGCCATCCCCTACTGTCTTCTTCCTCAGTTTCCTCAGCATGGCACTCATTGTGTTCCTGCCCTACCCCTCTGACCTCTATTTCTCTTCTATCCATGTTATCCCTTCTGTCACTTCCTGAGGAAGGTGCCTCCTCCCACTCTTCCCCTGTGCTCTCCCTGGGCCATCTTGGCCTCCCTAACAGCTCAGGCTCTGTGCTAAGGGGCTGACTCCCCAGTCTCAGCTTCTCAGCTGACTCCTCTCCTGAATGCCAGACCACATTTCCTTCTGCTCAGTTACTCTAATTAGCTCTGTCAGTAGTTCCTCAGCCCAACGGTGTGTGAGAGCCCGCTCATCTCTTCTCCTGACTTCCCTCCTTCTATTAATGCTTCGTTCTTTCTCCTAGTAACCAGGCTCCAGCTCCCAGTCATCTTTGACATCCCTTCTCCTTTTACTCCCTCATCCCCTCAGTTGCTGAGTCCCACCAAATCCCTTCCCTCAGTGCCCCCACACCCCTTGCCTACCACTCAGGCCCTCCTCAACTCTCATTCTGACCCGCGAGTGCCTCTCTGTTATTATCCCTGCTTCCCATCCATACTCCCCCAACTAATCTCTCCTACATACAGCCCCAGACCAATATTTCTGAGGAATAGTCTGCATCCTATTTACTGCCTCGCTTTAAAACCTTCAATTATGTTCAACAGTTATTGAGTTCCTACTGTGTGTGTATTATTTGTGATTCTTCACATGCAACCTACCGAAACCAACTTGTGCCAGCTTAAACTGAAAAGAGAGAATTTATTACAAGGAAAGAGGGAGGTCTTATAGAACTCAAGGACAGGAATGCAGCCAGGCCACAGAACTGGAAAACTCTCAGAACTCCATGGTCCTCTCTATCTTTTCTCTACATGTGCTTTGCTCGTCTCCCTCTGCAGACCCCAGTTCTCTCTGCTCCTCAGCCCCTTGCAGAAGATAGTTGCTCCACAGGAGCCAAGGTTATTTCTTTTCCTCCCCGCTCAAGAGACCACTTCCGAATGAGAATGGAGTCTTTCAGCCCCTGTTTCGAATTTGCACACATACTAGTCAGGAATCTTGTGGTTGCAAATGATAGAAACCCAACATAGCTAGCTCGGACAAAAGCATATTTTTGCGTGTGTGCGTTTTAGGTGAAAGTTTACAGTGCAAATTAGTTTCTCATTCAAAAATCTACACACAAATTGTCTTGTGACATTGGTTGCAATCTCCACAATGTGTCGGCACTGTCCCCCTTTCCCTTTCCACCCTGGGTTCTCTGTTTCCATTCGTCCCATTTTCTCCCTTCCTGCCGTCTTTGCTTTTGAGCACGTGTTGCCCATTTGGTCTTGTATACTTGATCGAACTAAGAAGCACGTTCCTTACAGTGGTTATTGTCTGTTTTATAGGCCTGTCTCATCTCTGACTGAAAGGCAGATTTCAGGAGTGGCTTCAGTTCTGAGTTAGTAGAGTGTCCAGGGGCCATAGTCTCAGGGCTTCACAAAAGCATAATTTATTGGCTGTTATAAACAAGCTTTGGGGAGGGCGGAGGTGTGGCTAGGCCTCCTGGACAAGGGGTAGCAGGGAATGGAAGGCATTCAGAATCTCCATCTCTTGTCTCTGCTTGTCAGTATCTTTCCTTAATGTAGACCTGATTCTTCCACGTGCTAAAGGACACGACCACTGATGGACCTCAGAAGGTCTTCTCTTCTTCCGCAAATTCCAACTGAAAAAAAAAATCTTTTGAGTGGACTCTAATTGGTCCAGCTTGGGTCATGCCTCCATCACTGGGGCCAGGTGGGAGGGGTAACTTGACAAGGGTAGTGGATAGAACATAGACTCTAGGGCCAGGCTGCCTGGGTTTACATCCTGGCTCTGTTACTTATAAGCTGTGCGAACCTTGACACTTAAGTGCTCAATGCCTCGGTTTCCTCATCTGTAAAATAGGGATAATAATTGGCCACATCTCACACAGTTGTTATAAAGACTAAATATACAGTGCTTAGAGCAGTGCCTGGCACAAAGGAGGGCCCCGAGTTAGCCATGATGATAATGACAGTGATGATGAATGAATGAATGAGGAGGAGAGGACGAAGAGTAATCCCTTTTTTTTATTGTTGTGCTTTAAGTGAAAGTTTACAGTTCAAGTTAGTCTCTCATACAAAAATTTATACATATATTGTTTTGTGACCCTAGTTGCTCTCCCTATACTGTGACAGCACGCTCCTCCTTTCCACCCCGGATTTCCCGTGTCCATTCAACTAGCTCCTGACCCTCTCTGCCTTCTCATTTCACCTCTGGACAGGAGCTGCCCATTTAGTCTCATGTAGCTACTTGAGGTAAGAAGCACACTCTTCACGAGCATCATTTTATGTCCCATAGTCCAGTCTAATCTTTGTCTGAAGAGTTGGCCTTGGGAATGGTTTCAGTTTTGGACTAACAGAGAGTCTGGGGGCCATGTCTTTCAGGGTCCCTCCAGTCTCAATCAACCCACTAAGTCTGCTCTTTTTACTAGAATTTGAGTTCTGCACCCCACTTTTCTCCTGCTCCATCCGGGACTCTCTGTTGTGTTCCCTGTCAGGGCGGTCATTGCTGGTAGCTGGGCACCATCTAGTTCTTCTGGTCTCAGGCTGATGAAGTCTTGGTTTATGTGGCTCTTTCTGTCTCTTGGGCTAATACTTTCCTTGTGTCCATGGTGTTCTTCATTCTCTTTCACGCCAGGTGGGTTGGGACCAATTGATGCATCTTAGATGGCTGCTCACTAGCTTTTAAGACCCCAAATGCCACTCACCAATTACTTCTTTTTTAAAAAAATTTTTATTTATTTTGTTGTTGAGAATATACAGAGCAAAACATACAAAAATTCAACAGTTTCTTCATGTACAATTCAGTGACATTGATTACATTCTTCAAGTTGTGCAACCATTCTCACCCTCCTTTTCTGAATTGTTCATCCCCATTAACATAAACTCACTGCCCCCCAAAGGTTCCTATGTAATCTTTTGAGTTGCTGTAGTCACTTTGATCCCATATAGGTAGTTCTTAAAAGAGCATAATGCTCAAGGCAGACATTCTTTACCAGTTAAGCTAAACTCTTGTTTGGTTTTAAGAAGATTTCAGGGGATATTTTTGGTTTAAGATTTAAAGATTATCTCAGGGCAATAGTTTCAGGGGTTCTGGCAGTTTCTATGACTCTAGAAAGTCTGTAGTTCATGAGAGGAGTAATTCCTTCTTGAACCACATTCTTGATAGGGAGGGGAGGAGACATTCACCAAAAGGAGGAGGTTGGGCAGTGCTGTGTTCCACTTCATTTCTAATTCCCAGGCCTGAATATTCTGATCCGTCTAACTTGGGTCAGTTGCTCATCCCTAGTCCCACCAACAAGAAGTCCTGGTGGTGCACTGGTTAAGCACTTGGCTGCTAATTGAAAGGTTGGAGGTTCAAACCCACCAGTGGCTCCATGGGAGAAAAGACTTGGCTATCTGGTCCTGTAAAGATTTCAGCCTAGGAAACCCTATGGGGCAGTTCTACTCTGTCCTATAGGGCTGCTGTAGATTGGAATCACCTTGACAGCACACAACAACAATAGACACCAACAGTGGCTGTAGGAGGGATGGGTCACATTGTACAAAATAACTGTTGGGGACAATGGGCATTTCGCAAAGAAAAGACTGGGATGTTGGCTTGCCTGTTTGGCATACATCTCAGATGTTGTCCACCCCAATGTGCAAGGTGCCGGTCACCCACTGAGAGATTCAGAGATGAACAAGAAGACTCTTACAACTCCAGCGAAGGATTATGTCCCATGAAAGCATGAATGGCAGATCAGGTGACATGAGTTAAGTGTTCCAGGAGGTACAGACAAGGCAGTATGGGGGCATTAGAGAGAATTAAGAAGTTCCACATGGGGTTAAGGTGGTTCCTGAAAGAGTCCTTCTAGAGGAGTAGCAGTTGAGCTTAGAGAGGAGAGTAGAATTTGAATGGGCAAAGAGGATGTAGGGGTGGAAGTGTAAGAAGGGACGCCCTGGTCAGAAAATGGTGGGGAAATAAATAATATAATGTGTCTGAGTGGTCAAGTAAAAAATAATAAATGATAGCAAGCATTCATTGAGGGCTAACTGGGTGCCAGACGCTGTTTTATGCATTCAATGTGTGTAATTTCTGCTATCCTCCCACGACCTTGGTCCCTTCCTGTTTTACAGATGAGGTTCAGTGACGTGCTCGAGGTCACACAGTTGGGAGGTGGTAGAGCCCAGAGTCTCCATGCTTAACCACTGTCTCCTATGAAGGATAAGGTTGGAAAATTGGTTAGGCTCAGAACATAGCAGGCTTTGCCAAGGAGTCTGGAATTTATTCTGCAGGCGACAAGAAGCCACTGAGGAATTGTAGGAGAGGAGAAAGTGACTGGGCCTTTATTTCAGGATGACAGCTCTGGTGGCAGAGTGGAAGATGCTGTGGAGTACAGAGAGCATCTAGAGGAGAGAACACTTGCCTCCTCCCACCCACGGGGAAGGGGAAGAATTATCCAGTCCTTCTTCTACAGAAGACAGCACCAGGTGCCACAGGGACCATTTGCTAGCTTGTTCTTTTTAATTTAATTTTTATTGAAGCGTAGCATACATACCAAAAAGGGCCAGATCACAAGTATGGCTTGATAGATTTTTCACCAGACAAACATACCTGTGTAAACCTCAAAGGTTGATTTTATATAACTACCCCAAATCCTTCTCTATCAAGCCCACCTCTGAATCCACCCCTGTAACTGCCCACCCTTTTCTTGATAAATCTCCTACTGTTTAATTATGCTTTCTGTTGGAGAAATGCATGTGTCCTTGGAAAGGGATAGGGGCAGTGCAGAGCTGGCCAGCTCTGAGTCACACTGCCCAGAAGCCCAGCCCGGCTGCTCAGCCTTACTCACAGTGTGGCTTCAGGCAAGTTCTTTGACCTCTTAAGGCTCGGTGTCTTCATCTGTAAAATGGAATGAATAATGGTTAGTTTCTCAGCTTGGCAGTGCCTCAAAAAAGTTAAATATAGAATTACCACATGACTCAGCAATTCAACTCCTAGGTATATATGGAAGAAAAAAAATTGAGAGCTGGAACTCAAACAGAAACCACCAATGTCCATTGCAGCGCTATTCACAACAGTCGAAAAGTAGAGCAACCTAGGTGTTCATCAACAGATGAATGGATAAACCAAATGGGATATATAAATGGAATGCAATATGATTCAGCCATAAAGAGAAGTGAAGATCTGATAACGTGCTCCGACACGGCTGAATCTTGAAAACATTACGCTGAGTAAAATAAGTTTAACATAAAAGGACAAATACTGTAGAACTCCACTTACATGAAATACTTGCTAGAAGAAGCAAATACATAGAGACAAAAGTTTATTAGTGGTTACCGGAGGCTGAGGCAGAGAGAAACGAGGAGTTATTACTTAAGGGGCACTGAGTTTCTGTTTAGGGGCATGAAAAACATTTGAAAATAGAGTGATGGCTGCAAAACACAGTGAATGTAATTAATGTCACCAAATTGCACACTTCAAAATGGTTAAAATGGCGGTTTTGTTATATATATTTTACCATAATTTAAAAAAAAAAGAAGGTATGTGATAATTTTAAAAAAAGAATGTATGTGATAACATTAGCAATTTTTTTTATATTGAATGCATGTTAACCTGATAATATTTTGGATATATTGGGTTAAATAAAAAGTATCATTAAATAAGAAATAATAGTTTCTACTTTACGAGTTTAATATAAAAGACATATGAGTAAAATGGAAAATAAATACTGGCCACCACCATCTTTGATGATGTCCATTCCCTTTCCTTTGAGATCCATTGATCAAGGAGTTTTTTTGCCACAGGGAGGCAAAGTGCTGCGGGAGACTCACCCCACACCCCACCCCCGGCACACACACACTAAGCACACATGATTTATTGGGGAGAGGTGGAGAGGGTGCTGCACAGAAGCCAGGTACACAAATGACCTTTAAAGATTCTCTCCACGGGTGTGATGTTTTATGAGCTCTGATGGAGTTTGAGCTATTTACTATCTCTCTTCTGCTGCTCTGAAGGCTGTGCCCTAGGCCTGAGGGAATCTAGGCGCCAATGATGGTGATTGGGGGTCTACCCTTTCCTGCCCAGTCTGTGACTGGGGTCGGGCTGGCAGCCACATCTCTCGGCTATGTAAAGTGTTATGGAGGAGCTTGGTACTTACTGCACGTTGCATTTTCAATGATCAGTGATTGTATTTCCTCCCTCCTCCCCACCTCCCACACTTTCGGTTCACCCTCAGACTACCTCCCCCCCTCCATCCTGGCAGGTAGACGCACCTGTGAGAGTGGCATATCCAGGGGAGAGGTGTGCTGGCCCTTCAGCCTCGTCTCTGCCACTGACCTCATGGAAAGTGAGCTGCCCAGCCCTGCTTCACCTCCCATCATCCCCTGGGAGCTGGGTCCTCAGGCACCCTTCCATGCCTACCCAGCACTCCAGTGTGTGTGGTGGGGGCAGGAAAAACCAGGGCAAATGCAAATCCATGTCTTCTGGAAGGTCTTGACCTATCAGAATCCTGCTTCTCTAGGGTTTATTTCTGGAGTATGGAATCATGAGAAGGACATTGGGATCAAAAAATGCTGGGGTCAGAGGGCTGGAAGCAGGGTGGGATTAACCAGTAAACACGGTACGCACCGGCTTACAATAAGAAAGGTATGCACATGTGTGCCTTGCTTATTGGATGAGCTGTCCCCGGCTGGAAGGCAGAAGCTCTGGACTCCAGTTCACTTTTTGCAGGTCCTGATGCTCTCGCTACGAGGAATGTACAAGATTATTATTCTGCTATCCTTTTCTCTCTCTTCCCTGTCCCCACTGTTGGAAAATTTTATAACGTTCTTTTAAAATAAAATTACAAACGTAATGCCTGCTTGAGGCATACAATACAAGCAGTAGGGAAGGGCCTAGGGTGAACTGTTCGCCTTCCCTCCATCCTCCCCACTCCCACACCACCAATCCTACCTCCCTGGATCACCAGCATTATTAGTTTCTTACCTGTTTTTTCAGACACCTTCTGTGCAGACACAAGGGAATATGCAGGTAATAGTGTTCATTTCACCCAAATCAGATGCTGTCCATCACTTTTGTACTTGAATTTTTTAATTCAGTATTTCCAAAAGCTTTTCGTTTTAGCACATATAAACCCATTTTAATGGCTGCCATGACACTCCACGGTGTGAACATACTATGATGTGTTTGCCAGTCCCCGGAAGTTGAGCATTTGGGATGCCTATCCTTTTAAGCCCCCCAAGGCTGGCAGCTGGAGACCCCACACTTGTCCCTGACTTTTCACTCTTTCTCATTTCATGCTTTTATAGATCAGATCCCTGGGCCTCCCGAGTCAGGATCTGTGGGAGCTGGGTGTAGCAGCACATCCGGCCTCAGGATGGGAGGAGCAGGGAGAGAGACGCAGAGACACCCATGAAGGACTCCATGGGGCACAGGAAGCAGGCCTGGGGACATCACTCAGGGTCTCTGATCCCGTTGACCTTCCCTGCCGGGCGTCAGCCTCTCTGCCTGCCTCTGGGCCCGTGCACAGGTGCTCAACCTGGCTGTCCACTCGAATCACCTGGGGAACTTTTAAAATTCCAGGGCAAGGCCACACTCCAGGCCAATTAAACCAGAATCCCTGAGGGGCCAGCCCTGGGTATCAACAGTGTGATAAGTATTCTAAATGACCATGCAGCCACAAGAACCACAACACAGAGCCTGGAGATAATGCTGTGATAAACGTGAGGCTTTGTAGTCTTCCTTTCTTTTCAACCCTACGAGAGAGATGATTATGCCACAGCATGCAACCCAGAGTGTGTTCACCCATTACGTGTACACTTTATAAATGAGTCTTATTTAGTTCCTTGCTAAGTTTTTATCTGGTCGCCTTTAGACTCATATTCAAAATTGTTTACGTAATTTGGCAAGAAGCTTTCAGCAGGCAATTTAGCAATATGTGAGCCGTGAAACTGTTGAGAATCATTGATTTAGTTATTCTAATTTCGGAAGCTGTTCTAAAGAAACATCATGAATATGAGGGGAGAGGGAAGCTATATGTGTAAGATGTTCATTGCAGCATTATTTATATTAATGGAAAACTGGAGAAACCTAAAAGTCCAATAATACAAGAATGGGTAAGCAAACTGTCCCATATGTATTTGGTCTAATATTAAGTAATCATTAAAATTAAGGCAATGAAGACAAGGTAATAACAGGAAATGCCTGCACTATAAAGATAAATGAAAAAGCAAACCCCAAGACTGCGTGGGTACCCTATCTGCACAACTGCATGCAGAGGAATTTAAATGGAAAGGAAATAAAATGCTAACATAGATTGCACTAGGATGTTGAGAGTAATGTTTTTTCTTTCTCCTACTTTCCAAGTTTTGCATAATATGATTACGTTATTACTGCTTAGATGCAAACAAAATAGTTTATAGTAAAAAGTTCTGCCTTGTGTATTTGTTAAAGATGTCTGCCTGAGACTGGGGGCGTCCTGAGGTCAAGGTGGCTGCATACCATGCCAAGGTTACCCAACACCCAGCCCCTCAGGCCACCTAAGAAAGGCCTGGAAATATGGTTCAGCAGTCAGAGGATCTGGCCTTGAGCCTCTGCCCCAGTTTCACAGTGTGGCCTTGAACGAGTCATTTCTCCTTTCTGAACCTCAGTTTCCTCATCTGTGAAACAAATGGGTTCAAACAGGAGGATGCCCAAGAACCTTCCAGTTCTGAAATGTGGTGATCACGGTAATGATGATGATGAGAATGAGGATGATACATACAAAACTTAAGTGCATTCAGACTTATTAAATGGAAGGCTTAAGCAGCAGAAAACTACCTCCACTAAGTCGTTCCTTGGCGGGCTGCCTCTGCTCCTTATTTATACCTTCAGAATTGCTCCCCTCCCCTCTGCGTTTAAACTCTGAAAAGCATAATGGAATAAATGTAAGGCAAGTGGCACACCTCTGCTCAGTATTGGGTCATTTCTCTCCACATCCCTTGCATGCAGTCCTGAGGACTTGTAAATATGGGTGCCTCTGAAATGTGCAGGACGGCGCAGGGAGCCAAACAGGAAATCCTGCTCCAGCCCTGCCCCTGGCTTTCCATCTTGATTAGGTGGTTTTCCTCAACAGGCAGAGGACTGGGAGTCATAAATCAGTGACAACACAGCTCCTTGGGGTCTGCACAGCTCTCCGCTCGGGAGAGATGGCTCTCCGCTCGGGAGAGATGGCTCTCTTCCATGGTATGGATGCACCAGCCTGGGGCTGGAGAATAGTGGGGAGAAAAGGCCGGGGTTGTTAAAAGCAGACTCATTTTGATGTGAAGGAAAAGTGAAACCCTAGGATTTAAAGAGAACAGTAAGGTGATTGATTATGGGAAATGTGAGGCCCACAGATACGCAGTGATGCCTTACTCATCTGGCATGAGGGAAGGAGCCACTGGAATGACTACATTTTCCAGATGACTGAAGTTTAACTGTAGAAGTGCCAGGACCCAGCTTGTAACCACACTAGGAGGCTTTTCCACCTTCTTAAGTGAAATCTATGGGACTTAATTTAGCCTTTTCCTGATAACACAAGGGAAAGAGATCGAGAGTTATAGCATCATATATGTATTTGAGTGATTATTTGCAAAATGCCTGTGTTCCCCACTCGACTATAAATTCCGTGAAGATAGGCATTGTGTATCCCAGCCCCTAGAATATGTCTCCACCACTTGTCTGTCAGTTTGTCATACTGTGGTGGCTTGTGCGTTGCCGTGATGCTGGAAGCTATGCCGTTGGTATTTCAAATACCGGCAGGGTCACCCAGGGTGCACAGGTTTCAGCAGAGCTTCCAAACTAAAACAAACTAGGAGGAAGGACCTAGCAATCTACTTCTGAAAAAAACTGGCCTGTGAAAACCTTATGAATAGCAGCAGAACCTTGTCTGATATACCGCCAGAAGATAAGTCCCTTAGGTTGGAAGGCACTCAAAATACAACTGAGGAAGAGCTGCCTCCTCAAAGTAGAGTCAACCTTAATGACGTGGATGGCATAAAGCTTTCAGGACCTTCATCTGCTGATGTGGCATGACTCAAAATAAGAAGAAACAGCTACAAACATCCATTAATAATCAGAATGTGGAATGTACAAAGTGTAAGTCTAGAAAAATTGGAAGTCATCAAAAATGAAATGGAACACATAAAGATCAATATCTTAGGCATTAGTGAGCTGAAATGGGCTGGTATTGGCCATTATGAATCTGACAGTCATAAGGTCTATTACGCCAGGAATGACAAATTGAAGAGGAATGGCATCGCATTCATTCTCAAAAACAATCTTTCAAGATCTATCCTGAAGTACAACGCTGTCAGTGATAGGAAAATATTCATAGGCCTACAAGGAGGACCCGTTACTAAGACCATTATTCAAATTTATGCACCAACCACTAAGGCCAAAGATGAAGAAATTGAAGAATTCTACCAACTTCTGAAGTCTGAAATTGATCAAACATGCGATCAAGACGCATTGATAATTACTGGTGATTGGAATGCTAAAGCTGGAAATGAAGAAGGATCGGTAGTTGGAAAATACGGTCTTGGTGATAGGAATAAAACAGGAGATTGCATGATAGAATTTGCAAGACCAACAACTTATTCACTGAAAATGTTACAACATAAATGGCAACTATATATGCAGACCTCGCCAGATGGAATACACAGGAATCAAATTGACTACATCTGTGGGAAGAGACAATGGAGAAGCTCAGTATTGTCAGTCAGAACAAGGCCAGGGGCCGACTGCAGAACAGACCATCAATTGCTCATATGCAAGTTCAAGCTGAAGTTGAAGAAAATTAAAACAAGTTCATGACAGCCAAAGTACGATTTTCAGTGTATCCCCTCTGAGCTTAGAGACCATCTCAAGAATATCTTTGATGCATTGAACACTAATGATGGAAGACCAGGACAGTTGTGGGATGACATTGAGGACATCATACATTAAGGAAGCAAAAGGTCATTAAAAAGAAAGAAAAGACCAAAATGGATGTCAGAGTAGATGCTGAAACTTGTTCTTGAATGTAGAGTAGAGAAAGCGAGTAGGAGAAATGATCTCATAAAAGAGCTGAGCAGAAGATTTCAAAGGGCAGCTCGAGAAGACAAAGTAAAGCATTATAACAATACATGCAAAGACCTGGAGATAGAAAACTAAAGGGGAAGGACACCCTATGCATTTCTCAAGCTGAAAGAACTGAAGAAAAAATTCAAGCCTTGGATTGCAATTTTGAAGGATTCAATTGCAAAATATTGAATGACACAGGAAGCATCAAAAGAAGATGGAAGAAATACACAGAGTCACAGTACCAAAAAGAATTGGTCAACTTTTACCCATTTCAGGAGCATATGATCAAGAACCAATGGTGCTGAAAGAAAAAGTCCAAGCTCCACTGAAGGCATTGGTGAAAAAACAGGCCCCAGAAATTGATTGAATACCAACTGAAATGTTTCAACAAATGGATACAATGCTGGAAGCACTCACTTGTCTATGCAAAGAGATTTGGAAGACAGCTTCCTGGCCAAGAGACTGGAAGAGATCCATATTTGTGCCATTCCAAAGAAAGGTGATCCAACAGAATGCAGAAATTATGGAAAATACCATTAATATCCCATACAAATAAAATTTTTCTGAAGATAATTCAAAACAGTTGCAGCAGTACATTGACAGGAAACTGCCAGAAATTTAAGCTGGATTCAGAAGAGGACGTGGAACAAGAGATATCATTGCTGATGGCAGATGGATCTTGGCTGAAAGCAGAGAGTACCAGAAGGATGTTTACCTGTGTTTTACTGACTATGCAAAGGTATTCGACTGTGTGGATCATAATGAATTACGGATAACATTGGGAAGAATGGGAATTCAGAATACTTAATTGTGCTCATGTGGAACCTGTACAAAGATCAGGAGGCAGTCATTTGAACAAGGGGATACTGCGTGTTTTAAAGTCAGGAAAGGTGTGCGCCAAGGTTGTATCCTTCACCATAGTTACTCAATCTGTGGAAACCCTGGTGGCGTGGTGGTTAAGTGCTACAGCTGCTAACCATGAACATCAGCAGTTCAAATCCACCAGGCGCCCCTTGGAAACTCTATGGGACAGTTCTACTCTGTCCTATGTGTCGCTATGGGTTGGAATCGACTCGATGGCACCGGGTCTGGTTTTGGTTTTATGCAATCTGTATGCTGAGCAAATACTCTGAGAAGCTGGACTATATGAAGAAGAGCAGGGCATCAGGACTGAAGGAAGACTCATTAACAACCTGCGATATGCAGATGACACAACTTCCTTGCTGAAAGCAAAGAG